CAGTCTCTACAAGGGTGTCAGCGATAACTGGACGAGAGACAACGCCAACAGGATCGTCTTCCAGCCCCTCTGCTCAGGACACATCGGCTTCTTCACAGAGCCACGTCACTAGCAGTGCTGAGACCACCAAAGCGCTACATCCCGGCGTCACCACAGGACCGACCACAGCAACTCCTTCACCATCAACTAGTGGACATCCCGTTACTTCCGCTGTTCCTGAGCAGACATCCCACTCAAGTGAGACCCCGGCTTCATCCCTCTCCACTGGCAGTAGCGCACACCATACAACGTCGGAAGTGATGAGACCCGAAACCGAAACACTCTCCACTGGTGGCGAAACGCAGGGCACGTCAGTGTCTGTAACTGCAGCTCCCACTCCAGTCCCTACAAGCGTGTCAGGGATACCTGAACGAGAGACAACGCCAACAGCATCGTCTTCCAGCACCGCTGTTCAGGACACATCGCCTTCTTCACAGAGCCACCTCACTAGGAGCACTGAGACCACCAAAAGACCACAGCCCAGCTTCGCCACAGGACCGACCACAGCAGCTTCTTCACCCTCAACAAGTGGAAATATTGTTACTTCAGGGGTGCCTCAGCAGACATCCGACTTAGGTAGGACACCCGCTTCATCCCCCTCCACTGGCAGCAGCACACACCTGACAACAACGGAAGTGATTACAGCCGAAACCACAACAGTCTCCACTGGTAGCAAAACGGAGGGCATGTCAGTGTCTGTAACTGCTTCTCCCACTCCAGTCCCTACAAGGGTGTCCGGGATACCTGAACGACAGACAACGCCAACAGCATCGTCTTCCAGCACCTCTGCTCAGGAAACATCGGCTTCTTCACAGAGCCAACGCACTGGGAGCGCTGGGATGACCAATGGACCCCAGACCGGCATCGCCACAGGACCGACCACATCAGCTCCTTCACCATCAACAAGTGGAAAATTTATTACTTCAGGGGTGCCTCAGCAGACATCCCACTCAGGTAGGACACCCGCTTCATCCCCCTCCACTGGAAGCAGCACACACCTGACAACAACGGAAGTGATTACAGCCGAAACCACAACAGTCTCCACTGGTAGCAAAACGGAGGGCACGTCAGTGTCTGTAACTGCAACTCCCACTCCAGTCTCTACAAGGGTGTCAGCGATAACTGGACGAGAGACAACGCCAACAGGATCGTCTTCCAGCCCCTCTGCTCAGGACACATATGCTTCTTCACAGAGCCACGTCACTAGCAGTGCTGAGACCACCAAAGCGCTACATCCCGGCGTCACCACAGGACCGACCACAGCAACTCCTTCACCATCAACTAGTGGACATCCCGTTACTTCCGCTGTTCCTGAGCAGACATCCCACTCAAGTGAGACCCCGGCTTCATCCCTCTCCACTGGCAGTAGCGCACACCAGACAACGTCGGAAGTGATGAGACCCGAAACCGAACCACTCTCCACTGGTGGCGAAACGCAGGGCACGTCAGTGTCTGTAACTGCAGCTCCCACTCCAGTCCCTACAAGGGTGTCAGGGATACCTGAACGAGAGACAACTCCAAAAGCATCGTCTTCCAGCACCGCTTCTCAGGACACAACGGCTTCTTCACAGAGCCACCTCACTAGGAGCGCTGAGACCACCAAAAGACCACAGCCCAGCTTCGCCACAGGACCGACCACAGCAGCCTCTTCACCCACAACAAGTGGAAATATTGTTACTTCAGGTTTTCCTCACTGGACCTCCCACTCAGGTGAGGCACCCGCTTCATCCCCCTCCACTGGCAGCAGCACACACCTGTCAACAACAGAAGTGATTACAGCCGAAACCACAACACTCTCCACTGGTAGCAAAACGGAGGGCACGTCAGTGTCTGCAACTGCAACACCCACTCCAGTCTCTACAAGGGTGTCAGCGATAACTGAAGGAGAGACAACGCCAACAGGATCGTCTTCCAGCTCCTCTGCTCAGGAAACATCGGCTTCTTCACAGAGCCACTTCACTAGGAGCGCTGAGACCACTAACGGACCACAGCCCAGCATCCGCACAGGACAGAGCACCTCAGCTCCTTCACCCTCAACAAGTCGAACTATTGTTACTTCAGGTGTTCCTCAGCAGACGTCCCACTCAGGTGAGACACCCGCTTCATCCTCCTCCACTGGCAGCAGCACTCTCCGGACAACAATGGAAGTGATTACAGCCGAAACCACAACAGTCTCCACTGGTAGCAAAACGGAGGGCACGTCAGTGTCTGTAACTGCAACTCCCACTCCAGTCTCTACAAGGGTGTCAGCGATAACTGGACGAGAGACAACACCAACAGGATCGTCTTCCAGCCCCTCTGCTCAGGACACATATGCTTCTTCACAGAGCCACGTCACTAGCAGTGCTGAGACCACCAAAGCGCTACATCCCGGCGTCACCACAGGACCGACCACAGCAACTCCTTCACCATCAACTAGTGGACATCCCGTTACTTCCGCTGTTCCTGAGCAGACATCCCACTCAAGTGAGACCCCGGCTTCATCCCTCTCCACTGGCAGTAGCGCACACCAGACAACGTCGGAAGTGATGAGACCCGAAACCGAACCACTCTCCACTGGTGGCGAAACGCAGGGCACGTCAGTGTCTGTAACTGCAGCTCCCACTCCAGTCCCTACAAGGGTGTCGGGGATGCCTGAACGAGAGACAACGCCAACAGCATCGTCTTCCAGCACCGCTGTTCAGGACACATCGGCTTCTTCACAGAGCCACCTCACCAGGAGCACTGAGACCACCAAAAGACCACATCCCGGCGTCACCACGGGACCGACCACAGCAACTCCTTCACCATCAACAAGTGGAAATATTATTACTTCAGGTGTTCTTCAGCAGACATCCCACTCAGGTGAGACACCCGCTTCATCCTCATCTACTGGCAGCAGCACACTGCGAACGTCGGAAGTGATGACAGCCGAAACCAAAACATTCTCCACTGGTGGCAAACCGCAGGGCGTGTCTATGTCTGTAACTACAACACCCACTCCAGTCCCTACAAGGGTGTCCGGGATGCCTGAACGAGAGACAACGCCAACAGCATCGTCTTCCAGCACCGCTGTTCAGGACACATCGGCTTCTTCACAGAGCCACCGCACTGGGAGCGCTGAGACCACCAAAAGACCCCAGCCCGGCATCGCCACAGGACCGACCACATCAGCTCCTTCACCATCAACAAGTGGAAAATTTATTACTTCAGGGGTGCCTCACTGCGACATCCCACGCAGGTAGGACACCCGCTTCATCCCCCTCCACTGGCAGCAGCACACACCTGACAACAACGGAAGTGATTACAGCCGAAACCACAACAGTCTCCACTGGTAGCAAAACGGAGGGCACGTCAGTGTCTGTAACTGCAACTCCCACTCCAGTCTCTACAAGGGTGTCAGCGATAACTGGACGAGAGACAACGCCAACAGGATCGTCTTCCAGCCCCTCTGCTCAGGACACATATGCTTCTTCACAGAGCCACGTCACTAGCAGTGCTGAGACCACCAAAGCGCTACATCCCGGCGTCACCACAGGACCGACCACAGCAACTCCTTCACCATCAACTAGTGGACATCCCGTTACTTCCGCTGTTCCTGAGCAGACATCCCACTCAAGTGAGACCCCGGCTTCATCCCTCTCCACTGGCAGTAGCGCACACCAGACAACGTCGGAAGTGATGAGACCCGAAACCGAACCACTCTCCACTGGTGGCGAAACGCAGGGCACGTCAGTGTCTGTAACTGCAGCTCCCACTACAGTCCCTACAAGGGTGTCGGGGATACCTGAACGAGAGACAACGCCAACAGCATCGTCTTCCAGCACCGCTTCTCAGGACACATCGGCTTCTTCACAGAGCCACCTCACTAGGAGCGCTGAGACCACCAAAAGACCACAGCCCAGCTTCGCCACAGGACCGACCACAGCAGCTTCTTCACCCACAACAAGTGGAAATATTGTTACTTCAGGGGTTCCTCACTGCAGACATCCCACTCAGGTGAGGACACCCGCTTCATCCCCCTCCACTGGCAGCAGCACACACCTGTCAACAACAGAAGTGATTACAGCCGAAACCACAACACTCTCCACTGGTATCAAAACGGAGGGCACGTCAGTGTCTGCAACTGCAACACCCACTCCAGTCTCTACAAGGGTGTCCTGGATGCCTGAACGAGATACAACGCCAACAGGATCGTCTTCCAGCCCCTCTGCTCAGGAAACATCGGCTTCTTCACAGAGCCACCTCACTAGGAGCGCTGAGACCACTAACGGACCACAGCCCAGCATCCGCACAGGACAGAGCACCTCAGCTCCTTCACCCTCAACAAGTCGAACTATTGTTACTTCAGGTGTTCCTCAGCAGACGTCTCACTCAGGTGAGACACCCGCTTCATCCTCCTCCACTGGCAGCAGCACACTCCGGACAACATCGGAAGTGATGACGGCCCCAAACACAACACTCTCCACTGGTAGCAAAACGGAGGGCATGTCAGTGTCTGTAACTGCTTCTCCCACTCCAGTCCCTACAAGGGTGTCCGGGATACCTGAACGACAGACAACGCCAACAGCATCGTCTTCCAGCACCTCTGCTCAGGAAACATCGGCTTCTTCACAGAGCCACCTCAATAGGAGCGCTGAGGCCACGAAAGCACCTCATCCCTTATCCTCAACAAATGGAAATATTGTAACTTCACCTGTGCTTCAGAAGACATCCCATTCTGGTGAGATACTCCCTTCTTGCCCCTCAACTGGGAACAGCACACACCTGGCATCTTCAGAAGTTATGACAGTTTTATATACATCTGTCCCCAATGGTAGTAAAACATATTTTATGTCAGTGTTTATAACTACAACATCCACTCTAGTCTCTGCAGGTGTGTCAGATACAACTGAACGAGAAGGAACCCCGGTAGCATCCTCTTCCATCACCTTTGTTCCAGAAACTTCAACTTCTACCTGGAACCACCTCATTCAGAGTGCTGAGATCACAAGGAAACCAGAAAGCAGCTCTGTCACAGGTTTGAGCACATTCGGGGGTTTTTTTCCATCAATATGTTGTGTCTGAAGTATTTCTCAGGCCACCTCCTCTTCTGGTGAAACAACCCCTTCATCTTCTTTCAGTGTTAATAGCACAACTCTGTCAACATTAGAATTTTTTACTGCACTAGCCTCTATGTATGCCTCTATAGGTAATACCAGAGAGACATCACTATCTCAACCAGAAGTTTTTTCCCCGTTCACTTCTATAGTTTCTACCCTATCACAGTCCGATGTAGCATCAAAGTCACCCTCTCTCAGTTCTTCATCTCCAGCATCATCTACATTGTCCACTGTCACTAGAGCAAAGGGACGGAGATGACAGGATGGCCGCATACAGGCAGCTCGATCTCTACAGATATTTTCAGGAAACATTCACTTCAGGTGAAACAACAACATTCACATCATCCCTCTATGTTAGCCATGCCACATTGTCACAAAAAAACTTGTCAACATCGATAGCTGCTGCTATACTGGTCACAGAAATCATATCTACTTCTACAGCTAGTACTGTTTCTTGGATTACTTCTCAAGTCTCAAAAATAGACACACAGGGGAGAACCCACCACATGTTCTTATCTGAGAGCTCCTCAGGAAACAACAATAACATTTTCTCAGATTCACTGGTCACAAGCACAGGAACCACTGGAGATGTTCACGTCAGCAGCACAAGCTCCAGTGTGACTCAAAGCACCAAAACAGTCACATTTGTATCTCCTTCACCCATACTAAGTGAACACACTTCTCAACAATATGTAATAGTAGGCACAACAAGGCAGTTAACACCATTCTCTACCACCACCCCTCCTTGGGAATCATCAATTATTTCCCAGATAGATCACACCAAGGCACACAGACTGCACAAGAATCACAAACCACAACTTCAGTCTCCTCCGTGACAAACACAATCAAGACCTTCACATCTGCAACTTCTTCATTCAAGCCAACTGGATACTCATTCTCAGAAAATGTTCCTCAGTATACATCCAATGCAGGTGAAGTGACAATATTCACCCCAGCCACCCTCCAGAGAAATTCACAAAACTCAGGTTACTACTACTACCACAGAACTGTGGACAACACTAGCCAACCCAGACACCACCCTTGGAGCCTCAGGAGACACATCATTTTCCATAACAAGCACCATTCCTCGGGCCACGTCTGTAGTATCAACATTGAGAGGCCCAGGAGGAACATCAACATCTCCTGTTACCAGCACTTCACCTGACACAACATCAACCATTTTCCAGACCCACTGGGCTCAAGGCACAGTGGCAACTACAGAACTGCTCACCAGCACAGTGGTCTCTTTGGTGATGGAAACCACCTTGGTGGGCACAGCTACAGCTTCTTCCTCCAGAACAAGTAGCCAAACAACTGCAGGAAATGCTTCCCCAGAAACATCCTCCTCACATAAGATCAAGAGTTTCTTATCAATTTCCTCCAGGGAAAGTCATACAACTCAGTCCACAAGTGAAGTGCTGTTCACTGCAACCAGTCTTGACACTACTCCAGGAACCATGGGAATCATGCCCACTATTGTCACCACCACCATTTCAATCATCACCTCTGAGGTCTCAACAGCAGAGACCAAAAAGACAGTCAATCCTAACTTCTCCCAGCACCTCTCCTCAGGGCACATCCCCTATATCCCAGTTAGCTCAGACTCAAAGTACAGGAACCACTAGAGGATCTGAAACTGTCAGTTCAGTCTCCCAGGTGACTAATACCTTCTCAAGAGTCACATCTCCATTTACACTGAATGTGCACACACCTCCACAAACTATTACCCATTCTCTGTCACCTTCAAGCAGCAGCAAAACAATAACCTCAAACCCAGTCAGAGACAGCCACAGGACTCAAACATTGGTGCCAGCCTTGTCCTCTTGGGCAACTGAAGGGCTAACTATAGTCAGTTCTACCACCCTGTGTGATGCAGCCTTTTGTTCTCCTTTCACTACTTTGTTCGCAAGTGGAGAAGTTCTGACAACAACTTCAAGCTCAGTAATCCATGAAAACATGGTCGCAGCGGTCATTCCCACTGTAGGCTCTGGCAGTAACTCTTTGACAAATACCGTGCAAGCCCCAGCTTCCTCAGTGAGCAAGCCAAAGCACATCCAGCCCTGAGCATCCTGCAACTATTCAAATGGTCGCCTCCACCACCAACCTTCCTACAAGGCCAACATATATGAGTTTTACAAGTAATCACAACAGCATAGATGGAATCCACACTAACTTTGTCATTTCCACATGCAACCTACCCTTTGATCAAGACTACTCCTGATGCTTCTTCAACATCTAAGTATTCTAAAAGTACATTGCCTACACTACAGCCATTAATAGGCTATGCTTACTCTGACTACTTCTTCTGGTAATGTGAGCAAAGCTCAGACCATACTGAGTTTCTACACTTCAACCAGTAATTCTTTATTATCTCAAGCAGCCCCTGTCCCTGCAGTCACATGGAACTCCACCACCACCATATTCACAGATCATCCCACACTTCAGTCTGATACCAGCACTTTCTCACCACCCACAGCACCCTCAGGCTCTACCGTGAAGACTGAGACATCAGGTAGGAGGGGATTCCAGTGTCTTGGCGTCTTACAGTGGCCCCATTGGCTCAATATGGCCTAGAGGAGTGCTTGAGAGAGGATGGTGAGTTAACACCACCAGGCTAGGACTGGGTTGTGGTGGGTGACAAGGTCACCATCCCCTCTGCTCTACCAGACAACTGCTTATCTGCAGGGAGTGGTTTGGGTATGAGTAGAAGACAGACAAGAGGATTTCTAGTTGTCTCTTCCAGCCCATTAAGTCTATGACTCTTTTAGATTATGCTCTTCTGTGACTGTAAGACCCACTCCAGTCTTCTCTCCCTGCACGCCAGGAATAATCGCAACCTCACTGAGGATGGACAGTGAGAGAAGCACAGCAACCTCACTACCCTCAACAACTCTCCATACTCTTACAACCTCAACTCCCAGCACATCCACAGGCACACACTCAACAGCTACCCCATTCCCTATCAACCCTGAGAAAGGTAAGTGATGTCATAGAGCTGGGACTTTTCCTCCCTGAGGTAGGGAGGATTGAGCTAGATGTGGAGCTTGTAGTTGTAGCAGCTGAATTGGATCTACCAATGAGGTCCCTTGTAGTAAGTTCTGTGGATATCGCCACTGCCCCTCCTGGGCCATGGGAAGTCAAGCTGCTCCCCATATCTTCTATAGGATGATGTAACTGAATGTTCAGTCCCAGCCTGCTTGCTCATAGACTCTGCTCTTTCACATCAGAAGGGCCTCCTCACAGGGAACAATGAGATAGCATCAGAGTTGGGTGCTGAGGGCAGGCTTTGTACATGGCATCAGAGTAGGAGGTGAAGGTAAAGAAGTGATCAAGGTGCTTTCCAGAAAGAGACAGATCTGCTGCCTCAGTAGGTGCAATTAGAAGAATAAGCCCACAGTATTAGGCACACACAACAAAAGGCTCCTATGGGATGTGGGGTGGGTTCAAGGTGAAGAGGAACCTTCTTAGAAAGGATTAATAAGAGCTGGGAAATAAGAAACACTCTAAGCCATCAGGAGGGCCTGAACAGCTGGAATAAAGGTATAGATGTGAAGAATGGTCTCAGCATAGCATGGGGAGAAGATCCCCAAGTCATATGGGGTTGCTGGAAGTAAGGTGAAAAGTGTTGAGAAGTGAGGCTGTGATGTAAGGGAATCTTGTGGATAATGGGAACCAGGGAAGATGTGGTTAGATTTGCATTTATGAGTGGTGCTATGGTGGCTGGGGTTGAGGATAGATTCGCAGGCCAGGGGAAGAGTGTAAAGATTACTGTAAGTTCCAAGCAAGACCAGGTGAGTATGGAAAGGAGGCCCATTTGAGAAATGCTTAGGACAAATTTTCTCAAAGTGCCCAAACACCTCTAGGGGGTCCTAGGACAAATTCTAGGGCATCTTCAAGTTTATCTAGAGAAATACCATCTCAGGAAATATCTCATTCTATGAAGTGATCTTTCAATTACTCAACTTCACTACATTGGAGGAATTTTGTTTTTCCCCCCTTAAAACAATTATGAGTGCCATAACAGAGGCAGAATAATGTTTTGGTATTCTGACAGAAGGACTTGATTTTCTCCAAACTGGGGAAGGATGACGATACCAGTTTAAAGGGTAAAATGAGGAGATGGGTATAATGCAAATAGAAAGGGAGAGAGAACACAACTTGATGGCTCCTAGTTAGGGGAACAGAAGACAGGGTACAGGAGCAGCTGGGGGTCCCTGTCAGTGCGAATAAAGTGGGAGCCCATAAGAACTTTCTGCTCTTCTTTGTTTTGGCCCAGGTGTTTCCCTCTTCCCTTACGGACCACATGTTGGAGACTGGGAGTTTGTCAAAAGGAAAGTAGACTTCACCTCGCTGCTCTTCAAGCCCCAGATTGGATTCCCTTTTGGCTCCACTCTCCGAGATTTCCTCTACGTGAGTCCCTGGCTACAGCCCAAAAGGCAGGACTTGTGACCTGTGTTCCCTGGGCCCTGGTTGACTCTCTGGAGCTCCAAGATGGCCCTGTGACTATGACCATGATCTTGATGAAAAGGAAGGGAGAATGAAAGCAGCATTTGATAGGCACCTACTGTATCCCTGCCTCTGTCTCAGTTTGAAATCAGTCTTCAATGTCAGAGCATCAGCAAGGAAGACAGGGAGCTAGGCAAGGCTCACCTATCTCCATGAGCAGAAGTGTCTTTACCACAGTAAAGAGGTTACTGGGGCCCAGTAAGCTCTCTACTGTTTCTGCAGGGCCCTTTTTATGAACAGAAAGCTCCATTTGGGAAACAATAGTTTGATGCTGTTTACATTTTCTGTAATTCTATGAAAGTGATGATGTGAGGGTTTCAGTCCTTTTAACCCCATTTGTTGTGGCACCAGCTTCAGGATGCGGCCAAGGGAATATACCAAGAAGAGTCTGCTCTGTGACAGGATGGTCTGGAGATGGAGTCTGCTCTTGAAGCAGGATAAAACATACCACCCTAGGAAGGACTTGAGGAGGAATGTCCTGAGGGTGAAGTGTAATTTGTGTGAGAATTAGGTAAAGGGGCTCTCCCAGCAGGCAGGGAGATGGATGACATGACCTTCCAGAGGTTGTTGACACATCTGAAGTTCTTCCCAGAGAGGCCCTTGGGGGTCGCACTTCTGAGGAGCTGTCCCAAGGCTGCTCTGCTTCCCTCCCTGAATGCTAACTGGAAGAACTTTTGTGCTCAGTTCACAGATAATGGTCAGATCATTTTCCCGGATTCAGAGTACCAGATTTTCTCCTATCCCAACCCTCCCCTTAGAGGCTTCACGGACAGGGACCAGCTGGCCATTGTGGCTCCATTCTGGGATGATGCTGATTTCTCCAGCCACCAGGGAACCATATTTTATCAGGTGGGCCTTTCAAAGTATGGCATTCAGGATCCCCCAGAAGCCAGCAAGGAGAGACAAAAGGCTGTGTGGAGGGAGATGCAAGTACAATTGCTGTCAGAGCTCAGCTCAGTTTGGGCAGGGATTGGTGCTTAAATGTGAGAGTGGGGAGGAAGCAGATTAGGACTATTACACAAACTCAGGAATATCCTGACACAACCATGAGAAGACCTACAGGTGACAGGGATGGGGGTTGGCCATCCAGGGTTTTAGTTTAGAATAAGGTTGTAGGGGTGTTTTCTACTAAGCCTGAGTCAAGCAGGGCCCCTGCGTGTGCTCCTGGATTAGGTTAATGATTCCAATCAGTGGGAAGAGGTAACAAAAGCTTCTGCGGGGGAATGTAGACTCTGCCCCTGCCATGGACAAGGCACTGTAGAAGGTCCAAAGATGGAGGAACACCTGCCTGTCCTCGAGGAGCCTTGGATATGGAGAGGTTCAAATAGGCACAGGTGGTTTACGCTGTCCAAGCCAGTTTGTCCTGAGAGATACATGAGTTCAGGTCTGTTAAGACTTGGATTCTGGGCATTGACTCCATTCTACACACCCCAGGCTTCCCTGCTGCCACATTTGAATTGATCTTAAGGTCCAAGGAGCTAACTGAAAGTGTAGGTCTGGAAAAAGGAAGGATGTTGTATGTGGGTAGACTAAAGTGGTCAGGATCATCATGCAGAAAGTGCAGTCCCTAAGGGGTGTTGAGCTGGGACCCTCATTTCCTTGTCCTTATCTGTCTTCCTTTCTTAGGAGTATGAGACACTCTATGATGCCTACAAACCACTTGTAGTCCAGCAGGTAGAATCTTGGATTGAAAAGTTTACAAACACCTGGAACTACAAAGCCAGGTGGACCCTAAAGGTCACATGGGCCAATGCCCCTGCCTATCCTGCCCAGTGGACGTATGGGGTGAGTGGACAGCCCCCTATGAACATCTGGAAGCCAGACAGTGCCAATCTTCTAAAACCCTCTCTGACTCAAGGACATATTGTTGATTACAGCACTCAGCGCCCCCCTCCCCCACCTTGATGCTGAGCACTTACCATGAACAAGGCTGCCCCAATATTTTACTTTCATGAACTGAGCAGCTCAGGTCACTGGGTACTAGGAGGTTGGATGTAGGAAATGGAATTTTTGTAAGTCAAAATGGCTGGCAATTGGCAATTTTATATGGCTTGACCTGATAGTATTATCCACATTTTAGAGATGAGAAAGATGACAGAGAGGTTAAGCAACTTGCTCAAGGTCATGCAGCTAACAAATAACATAGCCAGGCCCAGAACCAAGGTTTTTCTGCCTTCAAATGCTGGCCCTCAACCATAAGACTTCCAATGGAAATGGGCATACCACACAGTCCACCTGGTCTTCCCTTTGGGAACTCACAGCTCTTACAGTCAGAAGTTCTCCCTCATGTCTTGTTTAAAGTCTCTTGTCTCTTGATTGGTTCAACAAATTCATTGATTACCTACTTTGTACAAGCACAGTGCTTGGTGTTCACCTTTAGAGAACCTACAGTCTCAACTGCTATGGTCCTCCCCACTATTCAGGTTGAGGAGACATTTGGAAATCATCCTTAAATGTCCCTGAGGAAGCTCCATAGGCCTCTCCCAGCTCTCTTGTGTCTTGGCTAATCTCTCAGGTTCCTGATTCTTTCTTACACAAATTGTCTTCCAACTGGTTTCTAACCCAGAGCCTTTTATGGCCCCTTCCTGGAAAGAAGTCACAAAGAAGGCAAATCTACCATGCTAGGTGCTTTGACACCAAGGGTGAAAGGTGTCCTACACTCTCCCATACTTGTCAACATTTTAAGCCCATGCCTTTCCTCTATGTGTGCATCGAGCCAGGGATGTGGGATGAATGATGGGACATCTGGGACGACACTCCAGATCTCTCACAGGCATCTCTTTGTTTGTCTCCAACCAACCTCCAGACCAGTACCTACCAGGCCATCCTCTCCACAGATGGAAGCAGATCCTTCGCCTTGTTTCTCTACCAAAGTGGTGGGATGCAGTGGGATGTGACCCAGCATCCAGGCAACTGGGTCCTCATGGGCTTCTCCAGGTAGGACGGGGAGGGGCTGTCAGCACTAAGCAAATAATAGGAAGCGGTGCAGAGCAGTTTTTTTGCTGCACACACATTCCCATACCCCAGAACCAGGCCGATTCCTCATTGCTGATGCTTCTGACTCATACTGGCACCAGTTCCCATTAAAAGATCTTATTTCTTGCTGTTTCACATGAAAAGATCCCTATTCACTGCCATTTTCTTTCCTCCCCTAGAACCTATGCAATGTATTAATTTCCAGAGCCTTGATTTCTCTAATTTCTGCTGATATTGGCTGGTCTCTCTTGACTTCTCAAATATTACAATAATGATAGCAAATATTTATTATACTAAGTACTTAATACATGTTATTTCATTTAATTATCACAACAACCCCGTGAAAGAGATATTATTTATTACACATTCTACAGGTAAGAAAACTGAGGTACAAATAGATCAGTAATTGCCCAAAGTCACAGAACTAGGAAGGGACAAAGCAAGAATTTCAACTCAGACATCTGAGGCTGAAATCTGCTTCCTGACTTCTGGTGCCCTTGGTGGAGAATTAACTCCTCCTCCAGGGCCATCAATAGCTTGTGTGGGGTCACTGGGAAAGACATAGAGCAGAGGGAGAGAGCTGTAGAGGGGGGCATAGGTTCCTATGTGTGAAGGTAGCTTAGTCTCTGATACAACAGTTCTCAATGACGGTATTTCCTGGTCCTGGTGTGTGTAATCAGTTGTGAATGCCATGTGTAATTTGTTACTGGTAATTACTGCAAATGATTTTCCTTTAGAGGGTGTTCAGGATTGCCCCTATAATTACACTGCTTTTACTTGATTTTTAATGCACTGTGAAAGAGAAAGGAATGGAAATATACAACTACCTAGGAATTTCACATCATTCTGAGTGTGCCTGACCCCTCCCCCAAGGTGCCAAGCCTGTGTGAGTCACCCATCCTGTGCCAGACAGGAGTAAAGATCAGGAGTCACTGCTCTGAGACATGCACCCAGAGTGAGGCCACAGGCTCTGTTCCTGGATTTTCCCCTTCCTGTATTAGAGAGCTTTGAACCCCACACCTGGGATGAGGGGCGCACCTATTGCATCAGGTCCTGAGTTTTGAGGGATTTATAAATGTTACTACATTTCATCTTTGCAATACTGTGAGGTAGATGCTACTGTCATCTCTTTTACACAGATGTGAAAACTAAGAATCAAAGAAATTAAGTAACTTGCCCATGGTTACCAACCTACTAAGTGTTGGAATCAAGGATTGAATTCATGACTGCCTAACTTCAGAGACTGGCTCTTAACCTAACCATCCCAACATACTGTCCTCTTCAATTCCTAGTTGAAGGGAAACAAACCTGAAGGCAGCCTGAACTCTGCTGTTTTCACACCCCTGCCTCATGAGCAGTTTCTGGCCATTGTTGATCAGATGTGGAATGGGTTAGTCTCCCCACCTACCTCTTCCCTTTTCCCGCTTAGTGGAGGGTATCAGTGATTCTGGCTGGCTGACTGACCAGCTCGTTGAATAATTGCCTAACCAGTAGATAACTAATGACTAGTTAGACTGAGTGAGCAATTAACTGGCTGAATGAATAACTTGCCAATTGAGAGGAAAGACTCTGTGTGACAGAGGCCTACAATTCTTTCCTTTGCCTGCAGTGGAGATGGGCATTTTGAAAACAGTCCACTGACATTCCAGCCAGCATGGGAAAAGTATCGTCCGGACCAATTCCTGAATTCCAAGTCAGGTAAAAGTGCCACTTAATCACATTTGAGCTGGACTTAAATTCTCTTCTGTTCTCCACTTTGTGGGCTATGTCAGTCCTAGAGGGGCAGCTCCTGGCACCTCCACCATCCTGAGGGGTGTCACCGCCACAAACTGACCTCCTGCCGATGTAACTGGGGCTGGGCACTGCCCAGGGGTACCTCATTTGGGGCTCTGCCTCCTTCCTGGAATGAGCCAAACTTGGGAGGTCTCTCAGTGGGGGCCCAGATCCTGACAGTGAGGACAGTGGTATGGCAGGGTGCAGGAATATGAATGGGTAGTTGGAACAACACTCCAAGTGACCTGTCCCAGAAGTGGAATGTGAATCCAGATGAGATCCTTTAAGGGAATGTACCAAGAGAGAGCCCTGATGGTCATTTAGTCATTATTTAATTGAGCATCTGCTACTTGCTGGACACTGTGCTGAGAACCAGGAATATGAAATAAGAGGGAAAAGATTGACTATATTTGCTCTCAATAAGCTCTTACTCTGGTAAGAAAGCTAGTACTTTAGTGTCAGGAAGAAGCCCTTAGGGCCTCCTCCATAACTCAGTGTACTGTCCCAAAGGGAAAGAAGTATCATTTGCAAAATGAGATAGAACAAAGGACATTTTAACATTAGAAATCAGCCATGTAAATTATGAAGCATAAGTCCAGTTCTATTTGTTCTGTGGCAAGAACTTTTGATAAACAGAAGCTAAGTCAAATCATGGGTGCCGTCTTATGGAGAACGCCGCCCGGTCGGATTAGGGCTCTTCTATCAAGATGTATTGGCTTGTGACCGAGGGGACACAATACAATAGAGAGGTGTGGGGAGAGAAAGAGAGAGAGAGAGAGAGGGAGAGAGAGAGTTTGGGGGAAGAGTATCTGATATGTTTTCCCTGATACCAGGTTGTTGTGGAGAAGATACATGAACAGATAATCATAAACAATGATTATCCTTTTCAAAACCTTAACACATTGTAGTTATCTTGACAATTACTTCTTTTGTGTGAGAACAGGGTAAAGATCTAATGTCATATCATATCTTATTGGACTCTGGAGCCCTCCTTCTCACTCACGGAAGCTGGGGTGGGCAGTATGTAACTTATAATTAATTGAAGGTCTATTTAATGTTCAAACTCCCCATCAGGGTTTCTTCTCCTGCCTACTTTCCCCATCCAAGGATGGTGTCTGGACACAGAGGACTCTTCCTCAGCCTTGTGGTGTTAGAGCAAGTCCCAGTGTCACATGCCAACTTCTCTGTGGCTCCCCAGCTGGCCTCTGAGCATCGGCCTCTTCCCTGACTGCTTTGGCCACTGACATGTCTGGGCTGGGGGAGCCGGAGGTCAAAGTTAAAAGCCAAGTGTCTGAGCAGATAGCTAGTGGCTCGTGGTATCATTCACTGACATATAGGACGCATGAAGAGGAACTGTTTTGGGGGGACTGGAAGGTGCTAGAGCTTAGAGTGACAGAAAAAAGGGTAGAGGGTGGGGTGAGCTGAAGTTCAGGGCCAGGCTTTGGCTGAGATGGGTCCAGGTGAGGCCTCCTTGCCCAGTCCTTGTCCCTGGGTTTTGCCTTAATATCTAAGCTTTGAGGGCTTTTGGAGGTCACATCAAATGGGGCCCTTGGGGAGGAATTGCTGCCAATCTGGATTGGGTCCCCTCTGTGGAAAAGCTGCCCAGGGAGGGGAAAGTGGCATACAGAGGGTGCATTTCTGAGTTCGGATTTTCCCTAAAGCTAAAGCAGAACCTATGGTCCTAAGCCCTGGGATAACCCCTTCTTCCTTTACTCCTCAGGACTCAGGGGTCTACAGATCTATAAACTACATAGTAAAGAAAGACCCAACTACCGTCTCAGGTGCCTGCAGCAGTTGAAGAGACAGCCTCAGTTGCCCAGTTTGGGCTGGGACCACATCTCCTGCCCTTGCTCCTGGCAACAGGGACTATGGGACTTACGATTCCAGCCCATCCACATAGGTGACAACTCCTTCTGGTCTCTTGGAGCATCTCCATTGTCCCCACAAGCCCACTCACCATCCCTCTGGTCAAGCCTTCCCCAGAAACGCGCCCCCGCCCCCGACACTCCTGTCCTTACCACAGGCATCCTGGGCCTGAGTGTGTCTGGACTTGTTGCAGGCTGGTGGGACCTTGGCAGCAGGCAGCTGTGCAGCTTTTCCTCCTGGCGCAGGGGCGTGTGTTGCAGCTACGGACCATGGGGAGAGCTTCTCCAAGGCTGGAGAGTGCAGAGTCCTTGGCAGCTTGGTATGTGGGTCCACAGAGACCTGAGCCCTTCCTCTGGAGTTCTCTGCTCTTCTCTCTCAGAGACCAGCCCTAGGTTTCACACCAAGCAATGGGACTCACAGAATGATGGCTTTTGACCCCATTTTCTCCCAGTTCCTTCTCCTCTCTGGCCCTCAATTTCCTGATCCTGTAACCTTAGGCAGCTCCCAACATCCTGTCCAGCTGACATCTTAGGGATTTATGACTGAGTGCCTCTTGCCGCATCTCCACTTGGCTCCATCACCCCAGCTTAGAGTGGAAGCATCTTTCTAGGGAAGGAGAGTGGTCTAGTCTGACTCTGTTCCTCTGGACCCATATTAGCAGGCTGTCTAGGAGAAGACATGGGATCATCTCCCTCAGAGACTGACTCTTGAAAGGAGCTAGAGGGCACGAGTGTGGTGGGGCAGGTAATATGTGCACTCCCCCTCCTCCCCGTAATCTGAGCGGCCTCCACAGTCCTAGACCATCGGCCAAGCCCTCCCACTCTAGCTCTTTGAGACTCAGCACCCCACCCTTGAAGAAAGAAAGTTCTTTATCTCTTACTCTGTACTGGCCCACCTGGGGGCTTGGCTGCAACAAGCCTACAAGGGAGGCAGTAACTGGTCGATGGCCTAAGGTCACTGAGCGGGGTGGGATCTGCACAGAGGGATGCCTGATTCCCAAGCCGTCCCCTTGCCACCCGTCTCATCCTGCCCCATGAACCTTCCATCTGGGTTCTGCAGGTCCTCTGTGTCTCGTCCCACCCCTGCTCCACAACACCCCCACACCCCTCAACACGCTGCTCTTCTCCGCAGAGCAAGAACTGGAACTGCAGGACTGGTGCTGCCGCAGGACTGGCCAGCCCTCCTTCTGTGCCCTGTATCACCAGAGGCAGCCCCGCATCAGCTGTGCTTGGTACCATCCCCCAAGGCCCGGTGAGGCTGCTGGGGCTGCCCTGGAGCAGATCTGAGGAGGGGTAGAGTCTCGGGGCCCGGGCCAGGGCAACACTAGATTCCTGGAGCAGGGCTGTGACCACAAGGGAAGGTGGGGATGGTTCTGGTTTTTGGTGGACGGCAAACAGAGAGACTTTGTACATGGTATTGGGGACGGGGTGGCAATGGGGGGTGGGAGTTAATGAGGAGACATAGGTAGGGCTGGGGCACAAAAATGCAAGAGGGCTTCCAAGGAGGATTCTATAAGCCATGATAAACACCTCCCCAGGCTTCAGCCTACCTGAGCAAATGCCCTGCCTGGGGGTGGTGGGTAACCTCAGGCCTTTCCCTTGTCTGCCATGCCAATGTGGTATCTCCTTTTTCTAGCCTGGATGTTTGGGGACCCCCACATCATCACCTTGGATGGTGTCAATTACACCTTCAATGGGCTGGGGGACTTCCTGCTGGTCCGGGCCAGGGACGGAAACTCCTCCTTCCTGCTGCAGGGCCGCACTGCCCGGACTGACTCAGCCCAGGCCACCAACTTCATTGCCTTTGCTGCTCAGTACACCGCCAGCAACCTGGCTCCCATCACGGTGAGTGAGACTAAGGGTGTTAGACATACATTCCTGCTGCCCTCCTGCCCCTACACCCCCAGAGAGCCCTCCAGGACCTTCACCTGGAAATCAAGGCCCAAGAGGAGAAAGAGAAGGAAGAAGGGAAGGGGGCAAGAAGTGTAGAGGATGCCTCCTGCCACTGTACAGTTTGAGAGTCAATCCTGGAGACACAAGGTTAAGGTTCAGATTCCACCAGCTATGTGACTGAAGAGATGACTTAACTTCCAGTGCCTTAGTTTTATTACAGAAAAAAGGGGATAATAATATTGCCTACCACACAGGGCTGTTGTGAGATTTTAATGAGATGATCTAAGAAATGTGCCGAGCTCAGAGCCTGTCCTATGCTAAGCAGTCCATAGACGTTAGGTAGAAAAACCTTATCATCACACTCTTTATCACCTTCATCTCCATCCAGGGCTCAGGTTCTTAGCTCCTTGCAGCCTCCTTTCTCAGCCTCTGGGACCATCTTCAGGTCAGGCTTAGTCCTCCTCCAATTTCCTTCCAGATTCAATGGCTCCTTGGTCCCAATGACACAATCCATGTGCGGCTCAATAATCAGACTGTGACCTTTGAAGATGAAGGTAAGCTGGGGACAGCCGTGAGGTTCAGAGCGTGCCCCACGCCTGCGAGCAGAGTGATGAGGGTGGAGGCAGCGGGACTGGGGCAGAGGAGGGTGGCCTCCCCTGTGCCTGAGTAGCTTCTTCACCCAGGAGCTGGGCATTAAATGTTCAGAGGAGGTCCCTTCTCTCCTTCCTCCAGTGCTGTGACAGCTTGTCTGTGGTAGCCCCTGTCTTTCGGTAGAAGTGGGTGGTGCAGCCTGTGAGGTGTTCTGTGGGTTAGTTTCGGGATCCCTGGAGAAGGCACCTGCAGGATATCCCAGAGCTGCTTACGGTCTCCTCTCTGCATCCTGAGCCTTCATTACTGCCAAGTTTTGGGCCTGCAGGGACCCAATGCTGGCTTCTTCCTCATCTGTCTCCCAACATTGCAGACCAGGAAATCTTCAATACCACTGGAGTTGTAATGACCCGCAATGGCTCCTTCGTGTCAGCCAGCTTAGATGGGACAGTGGTCGTCTCAGTGACTGCTCTCTCCAACATCCTCCATGCCTCCTGCAACCTCCCAGAAGAGTATCAAAACCACACGGAGGGCCTCCTGGGTAAGACGCAGACAGGATCCTGCCTCTGAGGCAGCAGCCACAACAGGAGCTCAGACCCCCAGGCTCCAGGTGGCTCCCCCTCCCATTGGCGGTGGACATCCCAGGCTGTATCCTTTTCTCAGCCTCCTTGGAACAGGGTCCTGTGGGCACAGAGTGGCAGGGCAGGACTGGGACCTCCTCAGCAACCTTTGAGGCCCACGTCCTATCCTCCTAAAGCTCCACTTGGGGGGCAGCCAAAGGAACATCCAGGATGGGCTCTGAGGAGGGTGGGGCCAGTAGCTGTCCCTCTTCTCCCTGCCCCTCACACCCTCCCATCCCTCCCTCCATTGCCTCCATTCTCCCCCTTCTTCACTCCTCCTCCCTCCCTGAAGCAGACGTGTGAGCTCTGAGGTTATGGTCCATCCTCTACCCTCCTCCTGGAGGACTGAACCAAGAACAGATGCAACAGAAAGAGGCTTCCTGGGCCCCCTGCTCCTCCTCACATCTCGACTGTGACCTGCGGGATACTCCCCAGGGAAGGGGGAGAGCCATAGTCCCTGGCGGGCTGACCTCCTGCTCTGTCCCGCAGGGGTTTGGAACAACTATCCAGGTGACGACTTCAAGATGCCCAATGGCACTGTTATTGCCCAAGGGAGCACAGAAGAGGACATTTTTCATTATGGAATGACCTGTGAGTTTGGACTTCCGAGTGCTGGGGTATATGGGACAAGGCCAGGTTGTCTCCCTCAGGCCTGTGGGAACCAGACCTCTGTCCTTCATGACAGACGGGTGGGAAAGTGAAGAGGAGATGCTGAGAATTCTGGTGCCACCCCAGACTCGTCCCTTCCGCCCACTCCCACCCATGTCTCTCTACCTGAAAGAGAGGATGAGGGAAGTGGGCAGCCCTCAGTCCCCTCAGTCACTAGAGCAGGTATTTCCAGGCTCAGAAACTGGAAGCCAAGCTGTCTTTCCATGCCCCCGTCCCCCACCCCAAACCATATAAAGCGAGGGTAAGGGGACACTGCAGAAATATAGCTGGAGTCCCACCTCTGGTACCACCACCATTGAACCTCATGTGTTATAGGGGAAATCAATGGAACAAGCCTCCTTGGCAAGAGGGACAACCATCTGCCTTCCAATTTCACCCCAGTCTTCCTTTCCCAACTGTTGCTAAACAACACCTTGAGTGAAAATTTGACTTCCGAATGTAACGGAGACAGACAATGCATCTATGACACCCTGGCAACAGGAAACACAGGGACTGGACTTCATACTAGGATGCTCTTGGGAAGATACCAGGAGATGAACAACACTCTCAGTAAGTGGCACGAAGCTCTGGGAGGTGTTTCAGAGTTAGGGGGCAGATGAGGCGCCCTTTCTGTGACATTCCTTTAAGGTACGCCTTTTTAAAATGTACCAGATTTTTTTTTGACTCATGTTATTCCTCTGCTCAAAACCTCCCATGGCTCTCCAGCTCATTCTGTCCTTAGAATGACCTTCAAAGCCTTATCCAATTTGCCACTTGAAATCTTCTGGTACTGCCGCCTCGCTCCCTTGGCTCCCGTCGCATGGCTTCTTCGTGTCCTTCAAAGTGCCAAGCTCACTCTCAACTCTGAGACCCCACATATGCTGTTTTATTTGCCTGGAATGACCTTCCCCCAGGCAAGCCTCAAGCTAGCTCCTCACCTCTTCAAGGCTCTATTTAAATGTCATCTTTCTTGGTTAGCCTGTCTAAATTCCACATTCATCCACACTCCCTATTTACTTCCCCTGGTTTATTTTTTTCCTTAGCATTTATAATTATCAAACATATTTCCTAATTTTCATAGGTATCTTCTTTATTACGTGTTCATTGCTGTGGCCTTGCTACCTAGAACAGTGCCAGCCATATAGTAGGTGTTCAGTAAAGACTTGTTAAGTGACTGACTGAATTAATTAACACAAAATCAAATGGAAATAGCAGGAGTCCAAAAACCAGACACAACTGAAAAGGTTTAACTTCCTATTTCCTGGCAAATGCAATGTCCATTTAGATACTGTTCTCATGGTTTTCAGCCCTCTTCCAAAGGTAAAACTCTGTGGTGGTCTGAACAACCCTGTTTTCGGATTCACCCCACACCAAACCCAGCATAGCACTCTGATCAGGAAAGAACTTGAAATGAATCCTGTTTGAGCGGAAGAAAAAGGGAGAATAAAGATTTGGCCATGTGGGCAGTACAACCCCAACCTGCCCTGCATAGGTCTGAGAGCATGTACGCAGAATAATTCCTGCTTCTGGAGGTGGGTCACAGTCCTGCGAATGCCTCACACAGGCTAGAGGACTAGAGAAAGAGAGAAGAGGCCCGCAAGGCTAGACAGTGTCCTGCCACAGGCCCCACCCCTCCCCCGCCCCTCTGTATTTCAGATCAGTATCCGCCCTCTATCTACGGTGCCCAAGAGTTGAAAGCCTACGTGGGGAACACCATGCTGATTCAATACAACAGCAGCTCTGAGAACGTCACATTCACTCTCAGAGACAATTCCACTGAAGACTTCAAGCTTTTTGGTAAGGTTGCTTGACTGGGGTCATAGGAGATGAGTTCAGAGTCAAACTTTGGATGATTTTGCATTATTATACCCTTTGCAATTTCATGTCATTTTTCAATTTGAATATCAAGGACCAGCCATTTCTTGAGAATGACTCCATAATTTAAATAGATACCTATCCCTATGTGAATAGTGACAGGCTGATTGAGATTTGGCTGGCTGGTCCAGCTAGCTAGACTGACTCTGGGCATGTACAACTGATGAAAAGGTCATTTCATCTCAGTCTAATAATATGCAATCGCCTTTAACCATCTCTTTGTGTAATCACCTGATTTTTAGAATAAAGTGTAACAACTAACAAATTTCTACATTTCAAGATGTTTTCATACCTACATTTTTGAAGGACATAATGTGGAACAAGATTTAAAGAAAAAACAAACACCATGATTTGAACCGTTTGTCACTATTTTTGTGTCTGTCAACCACATTTACCTAACTTTGTCTCTCGTCTTTTATGTGCTGAGACAAGGCAAAGCTTCACCTCTCTTTCTCAGCAATGGTGTGGAAACCCCCATGCCTGCAACCATGATCTGGGTCAGCGTCAAAGCCTATAGGATGCAACTTGCTTTCTGCTGCCAGCTCTGACTACGCTGGTGACTGTTTTTTGCTAAACCAAAGCTCTTGGTTACCTTATTCTGAGCTCTGAGCACCTCTCTGCCTCATTTTCTTTCTTCTGAGCATAAGAAGGGACTCCTTTGTCTGTACCCTTTTGCTCCATGTGGCATCCTCTCAGGGGCTAGACAATAGCATCAGGAGACTTTCTCCTCCACTGGACTCTTCTCCTGAAGAGTGATGGCCTGGAAGTTACTCTTGTCTTACCTCCTCTCAGTCCCTCTTAATTTAGTTTTGAGAAGACGTCCCTATTTTCTTGAAAAACATAAGGTAGGTTCGATCAGAAAAGTCCTAACTGATGTAGCAGTGTTTTTAGTACAGTCTGGTGTCTGAAGGGGTGGCTGGTCTAAATTCCAGGAAGTGAGTGGAATCGGCAAGACACCAGGGCAAGGGATGGAGCCGCTGTGAAGGTGAAGCCAGTTTGGCCTGCAGCGTAGCCTGGGGATGTGTCAGGAGGATCCAGACCTTCATCCTCCATCCCCTCCCCTCCTCACCCCACTCCCGTCCATGTCCCATCCTCTGCAGGCCCAGGCAGGTCGCCCTTTGGGAGTTTCTTCAGGAGGCAACTGCCTTCCCCTCTATGGAGGTCACTCTACAATCAGTTAGTTGCTCTGGTGTTACCTCCAGATTGGAGCATGTCCAGGATCACCCCAGAAAACCAGACTTGCTCAAGAAATGCCTGATGAGGTTTGAGGGGTGGTCTGAGAGAGGCAGTGGAAGTCTAGTGTCAGCTGTCAGGGTATTAGATGCCAAGGTGTGTCAGGTGGCAGAGAAGAAGAGTCTTCCACCTCGCAATGATCTCATCTTCCCTGGGGCAGAGAATGGGACATTGCTATGGACACCAGGCTTGCCGAAACCCTTCACTCTGGAGATTCTAGCAAGAAATGTCAAGGACAACTTATCATCTGTACTCCAGCCGAAGACCGTGGTCTGTCCTTGCAAGGAAGAGAAACAGTGCTTATACAACCAGACCAGCTGGGTGGGCCATTCCTCCCTGGAGGTGAGTGCTGGGAGGAGGGTGGGAAGGAGGTTCCATTTAGAGGGGAAAAGAGGTGGAACTGGAAGGGATGTCATCAGCTCCTCTGTGGTAATGTCTGTGTTGGGAGGTGGGTGGAGCTGTGGTAGGTGAGTAGAGCAGATACCAATCTCAGGCCACAAGCTTATTCATGTGAGAAATAGAACTCTCCTTACTGCTTATAGCTCAGCTGAATTTCTGCCTCACAGCTCCCATTCTCCTAGGCTGGCAGGAAACTTCCTCCTCAGACTTTCTTAGTGGCTCCCAGCTTCATGCTTCTGGAACAAGGCACTGAGGTGTAGGGTATGAAGATGTGGTCCCTGGGCACGTGTCTGCACTGATCACAGGCTCCATACCCATTCTTTGTCAAACCCATGCAGGTGCTCTGCACTTCTGTGCCTTGCTCGGACACAGGGAATCTTTTGTGCGGTGGCTTAATGTCCTAAACAGACATTTCTCTCTGGCATCCCACCATCATGGTGTTGGGAAGGAAAGGTGAGGGGAGCCCAGAGGCTGGAAAGTGGAAAAAGCATAGAAAGTGGGGGCGGGGGGAGAGATTAAAGTCAATATATTATTTTAGATATCCCAAAATATCCAGTCTCAGAAGAAGAAAGTATTGGAGAGTTGCTTTTCAGGGAGATTTTCAGAGTCATCTCAGTAGAGGGGTCAGAAAAGAGCAACCAGGGAGCTTGATGAGGCTTCCAGAACCATACCTTCCCTGTGCCTTTGCTCTGGTTACATGTGTTATTGTGCTAAGCAGTGAGGCTCTGTCTTCTTGGTTTGGGAGTCAACAAGGGAACAATGAGCAGGAAACTCCAGCTTTCAGGGGATCCAGTTTTCAAGGGATTAGTAGAATATTTATTTACATTTTTAGCCCTCATCTTTCTCTAGAAAGGATTTCAGGCAAGGAGACATAGTGTGAGAGGGAAGAGGTTGAGAACTTGGGGTAGGGGCCAGGCAGACAGAGGGGTTAGGGGAAAGAATGGCCCAGGGCAGTGACTAGCAGGCTAGAGGACAATGTGCCTTTGGGCAGAGACGTGCCAGCCCAGGGCCTGGTAAAGAAGGAGCTCAGTAGACACTGGCTGAGATAAGACAAGGACACGGGATCCATAGGTTCTCAGACAGGAGGAGTCAGTACTTAAAGATCCTGATGCCCTTCATGGTTCAGCCCCCTGGCTGCCCAGTGATCAGCAACCCATTTCAGGTGGCCGGCTGCAAGTGTGACAACAACACTTTTGGTCTCTACTGTGAACGCTCCAAGGACCTCTGTGACGAGCAGTGCTTCCCAAATGTGAAGTGCATTCCTGGGCAGGGCTGTGAGGCTTGTCCCTCAAACTTAACTGGGGATGGACGTCACTGTGCACGTAAGCTGGGAACAGGGCGTTGGCAGGGAAAGGCTCTGGGGACAGGTGACAACTGGAGGCTCTAGGACAGCCACCAGCAAACCATTTCTCTCCTTTTTCTAACAAGTATTTAGAATGATCAATATAGGTGGGTGTGGTAACGAGGTAAGTTGGCATGGTAGGGTGTGAGACTGAAGGAGAAGAGAAGGTATAGGCACGGTGGAGAGCAGGGCAGAGTAGCCCTGAGACACTAACGGGGAAAACCCAGGGAAAAAGATTGAAGGTAGCCTGGGGAAGACAGGGCACTTCTGGCAGAGCCAGGGTACAAGAGGCAAGTTGGGCGCCCTGGTTCCTTGGGGTCTTCTGAGATGCAAGACCAGGAGTCTCCACACCCCCCAAGGTAGGACATTTGGAGGGACTGTCATAGGCATCTGGCAGAAGGGGCGCCTCATATTTCCTTTGAGTCCTGCTCCAACCACCAGTTCCTTGACTTCTGAGCCGTTGGAGTCGTGATGAGTGAAGTCACAGTGAGGCCTCCACTGAGCCCAAATGAAATCTGAGCAGAGGCCAGAGTGGATAGAACCACAGCCTTAAAAAGGCAGAAAGGGGGATAGAAGTGGGGAAAGCCTTCTGAGTCCTTTCCCAATTTAGAAGGTCTGATAAACAACGCTTTTCCCTCAGCAGAAGTGGGAGAATACCTGCCTAATAGAGGAATAGGGGTTTCCAGTATAGAAGTTTCCAATCTAGAACTTGGAAAAGGCAGAAGGATAGTTTGGGGTTCAGAAGCAGAATGTAGATCGCGCGGGCTTCGGGGGAAGGAAACAAGCCTGTCCTGGGAGCAGATTTCCATGGGCAGGAGGCTCCTCTCTGCTGTCCCTCATGGTGTTGCTGACCTCTGCTATCTCTACAGCTCTGGAGTACCACGCACTCTGTGAGAACATGTCCTGCCCTGTGAATTACTGCTACAACCAAGGCCACTGCTACATCTCCCACACCCTGGGCTGCCAGCCCACCTGCACCTGTCCCCCAGCCTTCACAGATGCCCGCTGCTTCCTAGCTGGGAACAATTTCACTCCAGCCCTCAAGTCAGGTATCACCAGATACCCCCACCATCCTCGCTGCCACTCTTTTCTCGCTTGGGGGAAGATGGGAGGACTCTGGGTGCCAGGACAAAGTTCCTCAAACTCACAGGAGAGAACTCCAAATTTCACTTGAGCAGTGGTATGTTGTATGTTGTGGACTATGGGAGCTGGTGGTGGGATCTGTGCCAGCATGAACCACGGGCCTGAGTGATCTTATGAGAAAAGACTGAAGGTGACCTTATGGCTCAGTGAGAAGAGTCAGGGAAGCCATGATCATAGTCAAGTGAGCTCTCGGGTGAGGGTCAGCGGACTCAGCCCCTTCTGATTCCTCTGGTTACCTATCACTGTAGAACAGGGCAGTCTCCCTGGACTGGCCCAACCGTCTCTTTGGTAAGTCTGCGTAAACCCATGAGGTGATTATGAATCTGTTTCTCCTACCTCCAGAGCTTCCATTAAGAACCATCCAGATCTTTCTCAGTGAAGAAGAAAATGCCACCATGGCAGACGTCAACGCCTCGGTCAGTAATGCAGGTGGCTCTGAGTGGGCAGGAGGATCTTGGCAGGTTCTGAGCAGGGTCTTAGCCATCACTTGTGCGTCCTGCAGTTTCATCATCCATCTAGATTTAATTACCAGAGGAAATGGGAGCCTCCTGCCTCAGGAAAGTCCAGGGGTGAGGAAGGCAGGAAGTCCCAGGACAGAGACTTCTGAGGGGACTGGAATGGAGAACTTGAAATGAACAGAATCTAGGGTGGCCAAGTCACCCAAGCCTCTCCATCTTAGAGTCCTTGGGAGCTGCACTTGAGTATTATACGGAAGAAACACAAGAAGGCCTTTCACCTACAGGAAGCCTTCTCTGACCTCCCAAAGGGAACTGGGGGCTCCTTCTCCCTGACCATTCCTCAGTTACAGGGAAAGTAGCACAGCGGTTGAGTTATTGTGCTCAGTGGTTGAGGCTCTAGAATCCTACATACCTTGGTTCAAGTCCAAACTCTACCACCCATTAGACAAGATATAATAATTAGACTATTTGATGTCTCATCTATAAATATGGAAATAATAATTTTACCTGTATCCCACAGTGTGTCAAGGTTTAAATGATAATGTATATAAAGTATTAAGCATGATGCCTGAAACACAAGCATTCAAAAATTAGAATAATGATTCCTCCTCCTCCTCCCTCTCCTCCCTCCCCCCCTCCCTTCCCCCACTCCTCCTCCACACTCTACACTCTGGTAAAATCTGTGGACATTTGTTTACTGCACCAGACTATGGGTCTTTGCACATGGACCCTCCCCTAGGTCTGGCTAAACATAATCTACGTTCAGTATAATGTGGGGAGAGAATGAGTGGGTGAGTCAGGAATCAAAGGCAAGGTGGGGGCCATTCATTTTAGCGTATCCCCTGTAATAGGAGGCTGGGAGTGTGGGTGCTGGGGAAGTCTGTAAAGTCTTTCACTTACCAAGAAACTTTTATTAAGCAGGAACCCATGCCAGTGCCAGGGCTAGGCTGGGGCATAAAGATGCGAAAATGGATGCGATAGGGTCATAGGGCTTAAAGATGGAAACAGACAGGGATGAATAAATGTATTAAAGTAGGAGATGTCTCCTCTCTGGGCTGAGCCTCACTCCCACCCCCGTTACACCCAACCGTCTGCCTTAGGTGGCCTATAGGCTGGAGAACCTGGATGTGCAGGCCTTTGCATGGAACAGCGAAGTGCAAAAAGTGTAAGTGGGATAGTTCCTGTTGGGTCCCTGAATCCCTCTTACCCCTCGCCTCTTAGTCCCTCACTCTGCCTCTCCCACACAGTGGTCCTCCAGAACCCCTGACCTCAGGAAGCTTCCTTCAACGATGGAAGGTCATCTCGAAATTCCAGTACCGCCCTAGGGGTCCTGTCATTGACTTCCTGAACACCCGGCTGCTGGACTCAGTAGTGGAGGCATTTTTACTACAGGCCCCGCAGGGATTATGGAAGAAAAGTGAGGGGCCCAGGAAAGATGTAGTCTTCCACGCCATTGCCAGGAGAGACGTGCACAGTTTGATGGCCTGTGAGTCACTTTCTTGGGGAAAGGACAGTCACAGGGATAGTTGAGGGAGGGGGTACACACCTCTGTGGAGGCTGTCACAGATATTCAGACTACACAAACCCATGGTTTAAAAAAAAAAAAAAGTATTCTACTTGCACGAAGCAAGATAATTTAGGGTTTTTGTTTTTTTTTTTTTTTTTTGGTTTGTTTGTAGTTTTTGAGAGAAATTGTAAACACTTTACCCACAAGCTCTCTAGATTTAAGAGCAAGAGCACAAAATACTACTTGATGAATTCCCATGTGCATAGTGTTACAGAGCAATTACGCCAGCTGCTGCCTTCCTAACCACTGCTGCTAATGCTTTAGTTTCTTGTAATAAAATTGTTAGTGATTTTGTTAAAATACCATTGTACTTTATATACATAAACAAAGACATCCTTTTGCCTTTGCCCTTCAGCTGGAGGATATTAAGTTGAAGGCTGGAGAGCCAGCCCAAGGGCAGAGATATCCCCTCCCTGAAAGGGAGTGTGATCCTTTGCAAAAGCCGTCTCCAGTCCAGGCCTCAGCTCCCCGATCTAGAAAATGAGATAGGATTTCTGACATCCCTTTCAGCTCTAACAGCCCTTGACTCTCCGGGAACAGGAATGAGATAAGTTGACAAGCTTGCAGAGAAGGAAAAGAATAGCTTTGGGAATGAGACAGAGAACAGGGCAGTGACCATGCCAAACCCAACAGAAGCTGTTGTGTTACTTGGGTGCAGGACCAAGCAAGAGGTTCCTCTAGAATGCAGGCTAAGCCTCATCTCTCCTGGGGGCAACAATATGAAATCCTCCAAATAACTACGAGTATGTGTGGTAGGGTAGTAGGGGTAGGGGTAAGGGAACAACTACCCTAGACCAGATTACACCTTTTGTTCAAGAAAACAAACAAGCCCCATAGTTTTTATTATACAAGTACAATATGTTTACTTTATAAACTTTAGGAAATAAAAATTAACAAAAAGAATAGAAAAAAGTCACCTGTATTTCCAATCCCCAGAGACAAATCCATTTTGCACATATCCTTTGATTTTTCTTTTATGCATAGGCACCTTCAGACTATCAGACTTTTTTTATGGTAAAGCATTCAAGTTATACTAAATTTTTCATAGCTTTATTAAACAGTTGTAAATACATTACCTTGAATATTGTGTGCACATTCCCATTTAATATATTATTTTATAATATATCTTAGTATGTATGGTATAATATATTTTAAAGGTATTATACAAATCATGATCATTGATTTAGTGCTTATTGTGTCAGGCACTGTACTCTCATACATTATCTCATTTAAGCTTTCCCAGGAAGGTAGGTGCTATTAACATTTTTTTTAAGATAAGGAAACTGAGACTGAAAGAACTAAGAAATTTCCCCAAATCACACAAGTAGTTAGTAGTAGAGTTTGAATTTCAACTCAGGCCTGGCTGACTTCAAAGCATATGTTCTTAACCAATGCACTTTCCATACCAGTGCTTACTTGGTTGCACAACATTCCTTATTTAACAAAACATCTGTTAAACATTGTTACTATTTAAACCACGCTGCTCCAGGCATCCATGAACATAAGTATTTGGGCACTCTTCCAATTATTTCTAAGGATAAATATCTAAAATGGAACTCTTGATTGGAAAGGTATAGATTCGGTGTTAATCAATTGCTTTCCGTGTTCATCTGTGTCCTACCTAACAGTGAACATAAGCACGCTGCGGAGTTACTTAAAATGCAACGGCTACCCGGGCTACGAGCTGGTCTACAGGCCGCAGGGCGGCTTCACTTGCGTGTCCCCGTGCAGTGAGGGCTACTGTGAGCACGGAGGCCAGTGCCAGCACCTGCCCGATGGGCCCCACTGCAGGTGAGTGGCGCAGGAGGCAGAGGGCAGTGCTGGGGAATCCAAGCTCGTCAAAGATACTGCAAGGGTCCAGAAAAGTCATGGTACCTGAAAATTATGACGGTTCCCTTGGTAATTGAGAGAGCAGAGATCAGAGAAAAGGGGACAATGGAAAAGAAAAGGTGTGAATGCCTACTCTCTGTGGAGAATAAAGGTGTTATATTACCCTTGAAACTCACACTGGCTAATAGGTAGGTATTATGACTATTTTAAAGATGAGAAAACTGCAGTTCAGAGATGACGGCCCTTCCCAAGGTACCCAGTAAGTTAAGTAGCAGGATATGTGTTCCAAAGTCAAAGTCTTCCGCCTGATTTTGCTTCTTGGAAAATCAGGTCTCCCCGTGGAAAAAAGGAACCCTTTATCTGTGTGTCTGCGGGCCCTGCCCCTTCTTAAGAGTACCAGGCATGGAAGACCCTCTCAGACTGGCGCCTTATGTCCCCTTGGTCCATCAACAGTCTGAAGGGCTCCAGTGAGGAGAATGCACTAAGTTTGCAGGCCTGCTAAGGAGGAGAAGGGCAGCGCCATCTGGGCCCTCTTGGCACGTCGGTGCCCTCCGCCCACCCTCGCCCCACGGCAGTTGCAGACCCGCCTAGGCCTCTCTCAAGGAGAGGGTGGGTGGAGCGGAGGGCGGGGCCCAACTCCCCTCATCCCCCACCCCGACACTCAGGGATGGGTTTGTGACTGGGCACGCTCACCGGTGGCCAGTCCCGCCCCTCCCCCTGCTCGGGTGTCGCTGATGCTGTGTGAATTGGTACCACCTGTGCTTCGGTTCCCCAGTGGTGGCTCTTCAGCCCCACCTCCGGGCTAACCCGGCCTCTTTCCGTAAAAGGGAGTCCCACCACAGAGTCGAAAGCCTTAGGCCCCGCCGCAGGAGCGGGTGGGGAGGCTGAGCGCCCCACTACCCACTGCTGACCGTGTCTCGTCTCTCCGTCCCCAGCTGTGTGCCCTTTTCCATCTACACGCCCTGGGGCAAGCAGTGTGAGCACCTGAGCATGAAACTCGGCGCCTTCTTCGGGATTCTCTTTGGGGCTTTGGGCGCACTCTTGCTGCTCGGGGTCGTGGTGTTTGTGGTGCTGCGCTTCTGGCGCCCCGGGGTCCGGTACTCGTACCCCCTGGACTCAGAAAGCTGAAGCCTGGCCCCAAAGGGGCAGCTATGGCCGAAGACCCGCCCCAGCTTCACCCGCATATTTCCCGGAGCCTTTGCTTTCGTCAGATTGGAAAAAGGAAGATGACTGAAGTCGATTCAGGATTCTTCAAGGAGAATGAATAATGGGAATGAATACTGATAAAGACAAGCACAATTTATCAGTAGACACAGGTGAAATGGAAGAGACTGTAAAGACCTACTACATAAACCAATGGATTCTCACGAGGACACTAACACACACACACCACACACACACCAGAGTTAATAATAGGGTGATGGCTCCAACTTAAAAACCAAAATACATTTGCACGTAAAACTCTAGTTTACTTGTAATTAAAGTCTATTTAAATAAAATCTCTGACTTTTTGTGTTTGCAAAGCCATGGGTTCCATTTGTCATTTTCTTCTGTTTGCTAAAGGGCTGGGCACAGGGGATGGAGGAGCAGAGGCAGGTTAGACCCGGTTCTGCTTCAGCTCTCAGTACTCCGCGTTGCTCCAACCCAGACTTGGATCCTTGCTTCTCCCTCAATATCACTTTCTTCCCGTCACCCCAATACAAACCAAGGCCCCTGAAGGACCATAGCAATACCTCTCATATTTTGTCCTTTGCTGGATTCCAGACACAGTCTTCTGAGCTTCTCCACCCCACAGTCCCTCAACCCCACTCTGTCTGCTTTTTCCCAGCAACCAGATCAGTGTCCACTGTATCCTTCTCTCTTTGCAGGCAGAACTTTACACCTCTTTCATGTACAAACTCTGATGACAACTGGTCCAGAACTCCTGTTTCTCCCACACCTCGATTCCAACTCTATGCAGATGCTGGCTAACTAACTGCCTCTTGGTTCTAAATACAAAATCCCTAAAGAGATCATCTGATTGGTCCAAATTATGTCAGTTGTCTGTCTCTGATCCAGTGTGGCCCTAGGGTAGGAAAGGAGGTCACAGAATACAAACCTGGTGCTCGGGCTCACTCCTGTAGGTGAGTGAGTAGTGGCATTGGAGGAAGTTCCCACAGAAACATGGTCTTTGATCTGAGCAGAGACTCCAAACCGCTTTAGATAGAAAATGACTTCTCCCAGCAGGTGAAGCCCCTCTCACTTGTACCAAGCTGTGGCTTTAAACTCAAATGCCCCCAAACGTAATCATATCTCCACATAAGCCACATTCGTTTAACCCCAATATTCATTTATCAATTCAGCACAGGGCCCAAGTGGGCTCACTGTGAAGTCTACGAAAAAATTGCAGGAAGTAATTCTACCAATTTTCTGTAATCCTTTCAGAAGATCGAAGCAGAAGGAATATTTCCTAACTCATTTTATAAGGCCAACATTATCTTAATACCAAAACTAGAATAAGACATCATAAGAAAACTATGTACCAATAACACTCATGAACATAAATGCAAAAACATCCTCAACAAAATATTAGCAAATTGAATCTAACAATGAATAGAAAGAATTATACACCAAGACCAAGTAGTATTTATCCTATCCTACGTATGCAAGCCTGGTTCAACACACAAAAAACAATTAATGTAATCTATCACATGAACAGACTAAGGGAGAAAAATCATATGATCAAATCAATAGATGCAAAACAAAGCATTTAACAAAAACGCCCATATATGATCAAAATTCTCAGCAAACTAGGAATAGAAGGGATCTTTCTCAGGCTAATAAAAATAAATCTGTATGGTGTTAGGTACTAGACTTATGGGCTGATCACTTTGTAAGTTATATAAATGTCTAATTATTATGTTGAACATCTGAAACTAATATACTGTATGCCAACTGTAATTGAAAAATTAATTTTAAATCTACAAAAAATCTAAAACTATTATCATACTTAATAGAGAGAAACTCAAAACTTTTCAGCTAAGATTAGGAACAAAGCAAGGATGCCCCCTTTTACCATGGCTTTTCAACATCATACTGGGAGTCCTAACTAATTCACATATCAAAAAAGGGGGGAAGGTAAAAGATATACAGATTGGGAAGGAAAAAATAAAACTGGCATTGTTCAACATGATTATCGATGTAGAAAATCTGAAACTAATAGTGATTTTAGCAAGGTTGTAGGATACAAGGTTAATGTACAGAAGCCAATTGCTCCCTTATATAACAGCAATGAACAAATGGAATTTGAAATTACACATTACCATTCACATTAGTAAATCCCAGAATTAAATACTTAGGTATAAGTCTAATAAAATATCTATTTATATCTATTAAGGAAAAACTACAAAACTGATGAAGGATTTCAAAGAACTAAATAAATGGAGATATATTCTATGTTCATGGATAGGAAGACTCAATGTTGTTAAGATGTTAGTTCTTCCCAACTTGATTTATAGATTCAGTGCAATCTCAATAAAATACTCAGCAAGATTTTTTTTGTAGATATTGACATGCTGGTTCTAAAGTTTATTTGGAGAGTCGAAAGACACAGAATAACCAGCTCAACCTTGAAAAAGAACAAAGTCAGAGGACCAACACTACTCAACATCAAGTCTTACTCTTAAGCTACATATTTTATAAGCTGCAATAATCAAGACAATGTGGTATTGGCAAAACAAAAACAAGAACAACAACAAAAACCCACAAGTAGATTAATGGAACAAAATAGAAAGACTCACATAAATATAATCAACTCATCAACTCCATTGATGAAGGAGCAAAGGCAACACAATGAGCAAAGGTAACCTTTTCAACAAATGGTATCAGATGCATGAACATCTTCAGGCAAGAAAATGAACGTAGACACAGATCTTACACTTTTTACAAAAATTAACTCAAAGTGGATCATAGAATGAAATGTAAAACACAAAACATAGATTATAGACTTAAATTTAAAATTCCTAGAAGATAACATAAGAGAAAACCTAGATGACCTTGGGGATGGTGATGACTTTTCAGATACAACACCAAAGATGTGATCCATGAAAGAAAGAACTGATAAACTGAACTTCATTAAAATTAAAAACTTCTGCTTTGTGACAGATAATATCAAGGGAATGAAAAAGCAAGGCACAGACTGGGAGAAAATATTTGCAAAAACACATCTGATAAAGGATCTATTAGAATGCTCAAAATAAACCAAGGACTTAAAACTAAACAATAAGAAAATGAACAATCTGATTTAAAAATAGGCAAGCAACCTGAACATAGACCTCATCAAATAAGATATAAGATGTCAAGTAAGGATATGAAAAGATGTTCAACATCATATGTCATTAGGAAATTGCAAATTAAAATAGCAATAAGATGCCAATACATACCTATTAGAATACTCAAAATTCAGAACACTGGCAACACCAAATGTTGGTGAGCATATGGCACAAAAGGAACTCTCATTCATTGCTGGTGGGAATGCAATATAATGCAGCCACTTTGGAAGACAGGCAGTTTTTTTTACAAACCTAAACATACTTTTACCACTTTATCTAGCAATTATACTCCTTCATATTTACCCAAAGGAGTAGAAAATTTATGTCTACAGAAAAACCTGTTACATGTAGCTTGATTCATAATGGCCAAAACTTGGGAGTAACCAAAATGTCTTTCAGCAGATGAATAGATAAACTATTGTACATCCAGACAATGGAATATTATTCAGTACAGAAAAGATATGAGCTTTGAGTCAAGCTATGACAAGACATGAAGGAAACTTAAATGCATATGATTACATGAAAGAAGCCCATCTGAAAAGGCTACATACCTATGATTCCAGGTATGGCATTCTGGAAAGGGCAAAACTATGGAGACAGTAAAAAGATCAGTGGTTGCCAGGGATTAGGGAGCAGGAAAAGATGAACAGGAAGAGCACAAGGGATTTTTGGGGTAGTAAAAATATTGATACTACAGTTGTGGGTGCATGTCATACATTTCTTCAAATCCATAGACTGTACACCACCAAGAGTGAACCCTAATGTAAATGATGGACTCTGGGTGATTATGATGCGCCCATGCAGATGACAAATGCACTCTGGTGAGGAATGTTAGTTGGGGAGGTTGTAAACATGGGGGTGGAGGAAATATATGGGAATTCTTTGTACTTTTGGCTTGCTTTTGCTGTGGACATAAAATTACTTTTTAAAAAAAGCTTATTAAATTAAAAACATAAAAAATTTTAAATGAAAAGAATGAAGCACATATAGCACTGGAGAGAGATAGGGTGGGGAGGTGGGGCACATTGGGCCACGGTTAGAAAGAAGGAGCTGTGAAACCAGGAGGGCGGGGCACCGCAGGCAGGGAGCACTGAGGAGACTGCTCTGGCCCCGACCCTCGACCCTCGCAGTCCTAAGTTAAGCGATGAGGACTTTGTAATGTGACTCCAGGTCAGGAGGGGAAAAGCTCTCTTTCCACATGAGGTCCAAATGTTACCTCTCTTCCTAAACCCAGTGAGGACTCTTGACAAGGGATTGACCCATGCTGTGCAAGACATGACGGTTATAGTTACTTTGTGTCATCAAACACGGGAAAGGACAAGCTGAAATAACAAAAGCAAAGTGGCAAATAGGGAGCAAGTCCACCCAAAGTTCTTCCTCCCCTCACCCGTCTTCACACACTAAGCTGCTTCTCTTCCCACTGAGCAATGTAGATGGAGCGGGAAGGCAGAATGTGTGGCAGGCCACCCTGCTGGGGCTGGTGGGGGTGTTCAAACCCTAGGAGGAGGCCGGGGGCTCGCTGTAGCAGGAGGAAACCCACACGTTGGGAAGAAGAGAGGAGACCTACCTTTACCCTGGTGGGAAAGGACATATTAAAGGGAGGGTAGTCAGATTTAGGAAATAAAAATACAATAAACTCAGTTAAATCTAAATTCCAGATAAATCATAAACAATTTTTTAGTGTAAGGATGTCCCATGAAATATTTGAGCCATCCATATACTTTAAAAAATATTCATTGTTTATCTGAAACTGATTTATCTGGTGTCCTGTGCTTAATCTGGCAACCTGGTCAAAACAGCTGAGTCACTGAGCACATAGAGAAAGGGTGTCATGAGAAAGGAAGAAGGCACCTGTGGGGGACAGCCTCCTCTGGCTGGGAACAAAAGGCGTCTTCGTAAATGGTGCAGTTAGATCAAGGACACAGTGTGAAATTTTCATCAG